TGCACACTTTTGTATAGCTAATTCATAAATAAGAATAAGTGGAAGTTTGAAGGTTTCCATCTGTGTAACTTAATATAACAAGTTCTACCACTCAGGCCTTTTGAAAACAAGCACATAAAAAACCCTTGATAAATATTTTTGTTGTTGAAATATTTGGCATTAAAAATACTTCGGTATGGTACATATAGTCAGAAAAGCCCTTTGGAAAAAAAATCATACATACATACATACATGTACATATATTTTTTTTAATCAACTATGTTCAAAGAACATCATTAAGGCTGGTTTCAGAGTAGCAGCCGTGTTAGTCTGTATCCGCAAAAAGAAGAACAGGAGTACTTGTGGCACCTTAGAGACTAACAAATTTCATTAAGGCTGCACATCAAGCACTCAGAAGTTAGGAAGAGCCAGAATCATGGTTGCCTGTGCAACCTTAATTTGCCCCCCTTCTGCATACGCATTATGATAGTCTGGGGGGAGGGATAGCTCAGTGGTTTGAGCATTAGCCTAGTAAAGCCAGGGTTGGGAGCTCAATCCTTGAGGGGGCCATTTAGGGAACTGGGGTAAAAATCTATCTGGGGATTAGTCCTGCTTTGAGCAGGGGGTTGGACTAGATGACCTCCCGAGGTCCCTTCCAACCCTGATATTCTATGATTCTCACCACATACTGCTTTTTCCACAAGAGGCCTGCCTCATTCCCTGCACTGGACAGTGTATGCTCCAGGAATGAATGAGGATGTTGTCTGTAGGTCCTATGCCCCATTTGTTTCTGAAGCTGGAAGTTTTGTAGTGAATGAGATCGAGGACTGCAGGAAGAGTAAGGATGGTGTCGTGCTTAAGACAGTTGAATGCCACCATAGATAACAGGATTCTATCCCTGCCTTTGCCACGTACTTCTTATGATACTGGGCAAGCCACTTAAACTAAGCTTTTCACAGGGGCCACTAATTTTGTGTTCCTTGTTTTCTAGGTGCCCTATCTGAGACACTGGGGATCAGATTTGCAGACATGCGAACAACTGCAGCTCAAGTCAATGAAAGCTGTGCACAGAATGTGTTCTAAAATGTTACGGAATGCTAAACTCCCTGAAAAAAAATCAAGCTCCGGTTGTCTTAAGTTGGGCACCCAAAATCCATGGACATTTGAAAATTCTGGCCTTAATCTCTCTCTGCTTCAGTTTCTGATTTTAAAACGGGATAATACTTCCCTATTTCACAAGCATGTCAGGAAAATATTCATTTCTTTAATGTTTGTGAATCACTCAGATTCTAAGGAATGTAATACTTCTGTATTCAGAGCAGGGTTTGAAAAGTGTGCAGGATATGTTGCATGGGAGCACAAACTGAACAATGAAGATGAAAAGAAATACTACACAGCTGCCCATTCAGGGAGCACCATCCATCCTATGAGCGCTGAATGAGGCTGGGGGTTCTGTTGAAAAAAAATAGTATTTGATCATGTAATTAAAGACTGTGTCATGACACAAATGCACAAGGGGACCGAATTAAGGTTGCACAGACCATCATAAAGCTGGCATTTCCTATCTTTCAAGTGTTTGATTTTGAAACCTTAATGTTTTTAACATGGGCTTTTTGGTGGTTGTTTTATTTTTAAATGTAATACTTGTGTGTATATATAGAGAGAGCCTTATCTCACCATCAGCTATAATGACAATAGGCCAGATCCTCAGGGGAGGCCAGGATTGTTCACATCAACCTGGCACACTCCCCCCTCACCTCAATGGCAGCCCAGATCCATTGATACAATTACATTAGAGACTCCCCTTAGCAGTGGGTGCCTTCACAACCCCCTTGGAAAAGATAACATGGTCCCAGTCTATATTAACTTCCATGGGAAATGCATAGGGTTGGAGGGGAGATGTGCCCTCTGATGTTGCCTGGACTCTGCTCCCTTCCCCATGTGGAACCCAGACCTGCAGCATGTGCTCTGCAGGTTCTAGAAGAGACGGAAGTTGCCATAAGGGTCTTTTCTTAGAACATGCAGTTAGAAGTGGAAAAGTCCAAATCCTTCACAACAACTAGCTGCAGCAAATGAATCCTCGACTGGTGTAAATCTTCATTTTTTTTTTATAGCAGCTCAGGGTCTGGCCCCCTATCCTTATACAGTCTGGTGTCAGGCCCTGTAGACTTTTCTCTTGGGGCAAACCCTGCCCCTCACACACGACACTGAGACGAAATGGCAGTGAAGGGATCTTTGTGGAGAGTTCCTTTTCCACAGCCCTCCCCATCTCACCCACCACCACCACCACCGTGGCTTTTGATTTTACCACAGAAAGGGATGATCTGACCACTGATTTTGCTGGGGTGAGGAATGAAGAATTCACCCACCTACACCCAATCATGACTGCCCTGTTCAAAAGGTGGAGGGAAATAAAAGATGCATCCCGTCCCCAGTACCAAGACTCTCAACTGCCTCCTGTTCGCCAGAAAACTAAACCAACTGTTATGCCTGCCCAGGTGCTCAGCCCCAACTGCCCCAACTTCCAGTTTCTCCCTTCAACAACATTCACACAGATCTCCAAGGGACAGTTTTCGGAGTGGTGCTCATGCATCCAGTCACACAGCTCACACTGTCGATGGAAGTAACAGAGTTAGATCTTTCTGTGCTGGGTGGGTCGGGAAGGGACTGGAGCATATGCTCTTCACCACAAAATGTTTTCAGCAGGTGAAGCTGTGCAATTGTCTGAGCAGCATATACTTGACAGTCTTATTTCATTTTCCTAATGACCAGCGTTAAACGACTGCAGGTTTTAACAGCGCTGGCAAATTATCAAGACCCTCTACATTACATGGTCAATGGTCCTTTTAATAGAAAAAGCAATAATATACAGTTGTTTGTGCCAACTAAAACTCATTAGAAAGTATTAGTTTAAGGTAACAGTTCAGCAGCTATTAACAAGCACAAATTTCTACAGTTATCATTTGTGACACTGTGGTCCTAGCATAGCTAGCAATAGAAAGCCAGTCCGTTCTTTCAGGTTTAGAAAATTTGAGGGGGTGGAAATACTTAACAAAAATATTGTTTTGCAGCAAGAGTCAAAGTTTTTCAATAATCTCTATTTTTCACTAGCATAATATTAGAATTGACTTTTTGTCTTGCTGACATAGCAACTAAGAAAGTTGTGTTGCATTGACCATATTGATTGTGAACAATGCAGCCATCAGTGGGACTTTGCAACATATATTTTCAATATTGACCTCCCACTCCCTTTTTCCATGGCTCTGTGGGTCTGCTATTGAATTTGGACTGCAGTGTAATAAACAGCTAAGGTTTAATTAATGGTAAATGAATACAAGACATAGGTTATGACTTTAACTAATTAGGGAATTGTTGAATTAAGTCTGCCTTGGAATGCAAGGCAGTACAATCAATATCCAATAAAAGGACTATGTATGTAATTTACCTGCAAATGTGTTTCCAATACCATCAAATTGAGTTTAAATAAGTAAGATATATGAAAGGCTACTGGAAAAGATTTCAAAAAGTTAACACTTTGTAGCTTTAAAAAAGGATTCTCTTTCTGTAGGAGAATGTCTTGAAATGGTCTGACACACAGACTGAAAAACAGGTGTAGATCTGCATAAAGGCATATTTATCAGGGCACAGAAATTCTTCTTAGGTAATGTGAAACTGCCAAATATCTCCCCCATCTCTATGTTCAGAGCAGGGATTCTCAAACTTCATTGCACCGCGACCCAGTTCTGACAACAAAAATTACTACTACAAAGCTGAAGCCCAAGCCCCACCACACCAGGGGGGAAGGGGGTCATCAAGCTGAAGCCCAAGGGATTCAGCCCCAGGTGGGGGACCTGTAACCAGAAGTCCTTGGGCTTCGGCCCCAGGCAGTGGGGCTCAGACTACGGCTTCAGCCCCAGGCCCTAGCAAGTCTAATGCCAACCCTTAAAATGGGATTGAGACCCACTCTGGGGTCCCGACCCACAGTTTGAGAACCGTTGTTCTAGAGCATTAACAAAACAAACCACTGTATGATAATATTATCAATATAAACAAACGACCAAGTTTAAAGGCAAGTTTCTTTTGTAGCTTCTTCCTCCATCTTCCAGCCCACCCCACCCATTATTCTCTAAGGGCTTGGCTACACATGCAGTTGTAAAGCGCTTTGGGTACCAGCCTTGGTAGAGCGCAGTAGAGAAAGCACTGCAATCTGTCCACACTGACAGCTGACAGTGCAGTGGCGTGGCCACATTTGTGGCACTTGCAGCTGCATTGGGAGCAGTGCATTACGGGCAGCTATCCCAGCATTCAAGTGGCTGCAATGTGCTTTTCAAATGAGGGGGATGAGGTGGAGTGTATTGTGTGTATGTGGAGGGAGAGAGAGAGAGAGAGAGAGAGAGGTGGGGTTTTGGAGTGCTGAGAGTGTGTCAGCACACTGTCTTGTAAGTTCAGACCCCCTCCCCCCGCCTCTCACTCACTCACAGCAAACATTTACTGTTGCAGATAAGCAGCCGACTGTTTGAAACGGAGCTTTGAAACAGCACTTCCGCATTCCTCAGCCGATCTCACAACAAAGAGAAGAGAGGCCACTTGACTTAAGGGGATTATGGGACTTTTCTGGAGGTCAATCAGAGCGCTGTAACGTAACTCCGCGTTCACACTGGCCCTGGGGCATCTCAGCCAATGTGCAAAAGCCGTTATCCCTCTCGTGGAGGTGCAGTACCAGGAACGCTCTAGCCGGGGAGTCAGAGCACTCTATGTGCCTTGCACGTAGTGTGGACGGGGAGTAAGGTAGCGCGTTCTAGGAGGATTTATTGTGGTATAAAGTGCAAGTGTAGCCAAGCCCTAAGTGTTAACACATTCCCCTTTCCATGGCACCTGAAGCAACATTACCTGGTGTGACAGGTCACCACATAAGAGCTTCTTCTGATCAACCATCACCAATACCCACCACTGCTCCTTAATGTACACAGCCTGATTACTTATTCTGTAATCACTCTTCTGAAATAAAAGAAGAAACCTACCTACTCCCTTGTGGGCATCTAAGCTGGTAAACTCTATTGTCCCATTATGGCCCTTTTTAGGATTTTCCTTATACGGTTTGTGGTTCCCTTTGGGACAATATCTGTAGGAAAGTCCATAATCTGCAAGATAAACCTGGAAGACATGAACAGACAAATGAATAATGCTTTTGTCCTTTGAAAGTATAACCTTTATAATTAAGTCTTAAGAAACTGATAGGTTAAGGACAGTCTTAGACCTACATTTTATTAAACCAAATGGTGTCTCAGGATAAAATATGTACAACTGGGTGCTGTAACAGCTGCCCTCCTCATTTAAATCCTTCTTCTACCATGCTCTTCTCTTATTTCAGAGTCGAGTAGGATTTCCGTCTTTTTATTTTGTTCTTAAGCTCTCTTCTCTCCAGGTGGGCATCTAAACATCATAAACCATTATATGTCTTATCTGTCCTCATAAAGCTTATGGGACCCCTTTCTCTCCTTCCTAAAAACACACACACCGGATCAAATCTTTCAACAATTAAGATTTACAAGTTCATAATGGCAAGGCCTATAAAAGTGTAGAAAAAGAGTGAAAGTCACCTAGTTTCTCTAAAACACAAAATCCCAGTTTGCATATAGAACATACCATGGTATTGCCAGTCATTAGATTGGTAGTAGCTACATCATCATCATCACTGCTGGTAACTCAGTACTGGAAACAGTTTTTTAAACAGAATATAGAAAATTTAAGAAAAACGCAGAAAGCAATCAGAAAAAAATGTTCCTCTGTTATGTTGAAACATTTATGTTGAAAATTTTTAAAAAGTTTTACAAGCACAGAATCAAACTGTATTGAGAGTTACACTGGGGCAGACCCAATGGGGTTCAAAGGACTTGCATCGGTTATAACAAAGAACAGATTTTGGCCCCCACTGTGAACTCCAGGAAGAGTTCATTTATTATGATACATTTATCTTGAAATACAAAGCTAGCACATTCTTCAAGATTTGTGGTTATGTGCACCCAAGTACCCAAAAGAGCACATACCCCCAAGGGGTTGAATACTATACCTGATATGTACTTTTAAAAAAAAATTCTGAATGCTTATCCATGTGAATATTAATAATAGAGCAGACTGAAGATAGAACTACTGCAGCAAGCCTCACATTTTAAAGCAATCTCTATTAAGCAGTATTGTTTAATGGTTAGACCAGCAGACAGTCAGGAGAACGGTGTTCTGCTCTCAACTCTGCTACAGTCAGTGTCACCCTCAGCAAGTAATTTGACCTCAGTGTGCCTCAGTTTCCCCATCTGTGCAACGCAGGTAAGATTGCAGAAAAATGTCTATTCTATCACTTATATACTTTAGACTAGGGTTGGTTTTGTGGTACCTCATTTTTGCATGCTTGCCTGACCATTGCTCTTCACTTATTACTAGAACTGGTCAACCTAAATTATGTTGTGTAAATGTTCGTAGTGCTTCTTACCACGTAATATGCTGCAAGTTCACAGAAGAAGGGTTTTGGATCTGGCCTGTACTACCTATTGAAGTCAATGCACAGACTCTCTAAATAGGTATTATAATGTAAGAATATAAGAAACTAGTTTTCTTACTATAATCTTTAGTAACTTTTGTTTCCCTTTAGTTTTAATAGGAATAAGTTTATCTGGTAACAGAAGAGTTTTCTGTGCTTTTAATTTAATTGTAGCGCTGTTTGTGGGTTTCAGTCCTTCCCACGTCCCTCCCCAGGAAAAAAACACCACCACCATTTTGTAACACACACTGTTAAATAACTGATTCCTGTTTGTGCTCCAGGCAGCTTCAGATTTTGGGCTGCTGGCATCATGGTTTTACAGTTTCTGCTGCAGGATCTGTGCTTATTTGGAGCGTGTAAGCTGGGATGTAGCACTCTCTTCCTGCAGGGTGATGTGTTTAAGATTACTGATTATGTTTTTCACCTGACGGACTGTACAAACTGTGATACAAGATTAAAGACTGTAGGCACCATGAGGAAATCTGGGACAAGGCACAAGCTTTGCTGGGTTGACCCAATGATTTTCTCCCGTGTTCTCCAGTGTATTCTAGATGCTCTGGTACCCGCCCTAATTGAGCCTGAAGTCAATAATGCACTGAGTCAGCGTGGCAGAGAACGGATTTAAACTACCATATCATCAAGCTTAGTGATGTGGAGAGAAGACTTCCACATATGGTGTGGGCTGTGGTGGAAAGATGCTGCAAGGTATGTTCTTCCCTGGCTAAATAGCAGCATTTGGATTTTGCCTGACTGTAGGTCTTGGGCAGGGATAGCTGGGCAGGTATAGATAAAATGACACCAAACTGAACCAGACCCTAAAAAGCATGGCCAACTTTTATATTAAATTTAACTGGTTCTTGACATGTTAGAGAAACGACAGAGCAGTGTGAGTGAAGGACATCAAGACATCTCCACACTTCCTGCCCTGCTGGAACCACAGGATATGTCTACATTGCAATTAAACAAACAGCTGGCCGGTGTCAGCTGACTCTGGCTTGCAGGGCTGCAAAACTGTGGTGCACAGGATCAGGCTTAGGCTGGAGCCAAGGCTCTGGGACCCTCCAAATTTATTTGAGCATAAGCTTTTGCGGGCTAAAACCCACTTCATCAGATGTATGCAGTGGAAAATACAGTAGGAAGATATATATACACACAGAGGACATGAAAAAATGGGTGTTGCCATACTAACTATAATGAGAGTAATCAATTAAGGTGGGCTATTATCAGCAGGAGAAAAAAAAACGTTTGTAGTGATAATCAGGATGCTCCATTTCCAACAGGTTTCTCCATGAAGATGGGATTGAGCCCATACCAGTGAAGTCAAACAGCAAAACTCCCTTTGATTGCAATGGAGATAGGATTTCACCCTGAAAGCTTCATCACCAACTTCAATGAGAGCAGGAGCAGGCCCATGTAGTCTAAATGATCCTTTTCTTAATTTCATCTCATTAGTTACAATTACACCCCTTTTCTCAGGCTAAATAACACCTCTTCCAACCTGGTTTTCAGCTTTTGATATTGCAGATCAGGGTATCCTTTTAACTCACTATATACATTATTGGGGTTTTTAATTAAATGTTTTTCATTATAGGAAGGGGAGAAAAAGCCACTGACTGTAACAAAGAAAGTAAAATAAATACAAAACTGAAGTACAATGTTAGCCCATACTCAACATGTCATAAAGTAACAATTTACATCTGTTCACTGCTTTACATTGCAAGAAACAAAGAAAACAGGAACAAGCCATAGGAAATGAGAAAAAGAGAATATGTAGGACAGTATGTCAGACTGAAGAAATACCATGGAAAGCTAGGAAGTTGTCCCTAGACAGCCAATCTGCTTGCTTGGCAAGGGGTTGAACTTGGTTGGTTTGGTTTAGTTTTTGTTTTGTTTTTCATGTAATTATGCACTGGACCCAGCAGTTCTTAGCAATGCCTGTTATGGATTATGGACCAGATTTTCCAAGTCTGGCACACTTAATTTAATGCATAAGTGTGCCTATCACACACGCAAATACCAGATATGCATGCACAGATAAGGCCAGTTATGTACCCAACAGACGTAGGTGCTCATTTGTATGCATGAACACTTGATCATAGTGCTTATATTTAAGTACTTTAAACAAATGTTAAATAACAAAGTAAACAGGAGACTTATGATCCCCTAGACCAATTATTTAAGATATTCCACAGCGCTCTCTTTTAGACGTGTGATGGGGTGTACCAACCCCACTCTGGGCTAGAATGGGTTAATAAGAGCCTATAGGCCTTGCCCTGATACACCTACTAAAGGGGTCAAGCCTGGAAGGAAGAGTTAAAAGGGCCTGGGAGCTGGGAGCTGACCAGAAAGGAGAGCAGCTCACTGGCTCTCACTCAATGAGAGAACTCTGGCTGGAGCCGGGGAGCAGAGTAGAACTGCTGATGGGACAGTCTTCCCAAAGAAAGGTAGGCTTGCAAGGAGCAACCAGACTCCTGTAACAGAACCTCCTGGGTGACAGAAAGTGCTAAGAAGCTCTGCAGTGAGCCTGGGGCAGAGGCTTGGAGAGGGAGGAGCTGAAACCCTCTGAGCCCAGGAAGAGGCTGTAGGAAAGACTCAAGACAGGGTAAGGTAGGAAGTGTCCCAGGAAGGCAGTAAAGGGTTGGCACAGCCACCACTTGACTGCTTATTAAAGGATCCCTGGACTGGAACCCAGTAGAGAGGGAGGACCAGTATTTCCCTACCAACCACCAAGGAAGGTGGAGTGGAAACTCTTCCTGACAAGGGGTAAGGACTACTGAAACCCCCTAATAGCTGGGATATGGACTAGTAAGTCTGGACTTGGACTAAGTTGAAGGGCTGATAGTTGTTGGACTAGTGGTTTACCCTTGAAGGGGTGGGACTGTGTGTGTCCTGGCCAAAGGGCTGAGTTGCAAGAAGAAGCAGACCGCCGCTGGGCCTGGGCTGTCAGTAGGAAGTGCTATAGGAGAGCCTGCTAAACCGCAACCAGAGTGTACACGGGCTAGTAAGTCACATGCTTACAATACTCCATGGTATTATATTTTTAGATGAACACATCTGGTGATGGTTATTGAGCTTATGATGATGCCCAGATTTTCTGGTTTGTTTTCCATTTGGCCCTGTGAATAATTACTATTTATTAGCACCATAAGTGTACATGGTACTGTACTAGTAAGGTCAAAGGCAATCAACGTGAGGGCATGAGTTTATTTATTTTATAGAAGAGGCTTGGTATACAGTCACTGGTTAAACCATGGAGACTGGAGATGGAGCTCTCACAGCAGCCAAGGTGAAGGGTGGAGCAGCTGGGCAGAAGGGCCTACCCAAGCCAAAGAAAAGAGGAGATGCTCTTCCTCTGCTTTTAGCAGTAGGAGCTGTGCTCCCCACTTCTGCCCCTTACTTCAACACCTGGGTACAGTGCCTGCGAGGATGTTCGGTGTAGCTGGAATGGTGTGGGATTTTCCCCTCCTACAAAGACTGCACCATATCTTGCCAATACCAAAAATCAGCACTTTTATCTCCGAAAGATTTTATTCACTGTAAATGAAAGGAAAGGGAACTTTCGCAGACTCAATAACCACTTAACTTTGGAAATCCAAATATTTTAACTTTTCTGTTATTAATTGCTGTGCACTTAATCAGCATATGAGAAGATTTCTGTACCGTAGCTGCCCAGGGAAAGCAAGCCGTAACACAATCTACTGTTAACTTTTCAATATTGTAACAGTAACGTGAGGGTTCTAGTAACACTTTTAAGCCACAAACTCTATCATTATCAGAGAGGGGAAGTATTTTGGAGAAAAAGTCGATTAGGGAGGGCTCTGAAGAGTATTGCCAACTCTAAGCATTCAAAAACCATAAGTCAGGAAACAGAAGTCCTGACTGGCTTAAAAATAATGAGATTTTAAAAAGCATGTTTGGGGTTCTCTTTATTTGCCATCTTGTGTTAGAATATGTAAGGATCATGTTTGCAAGGTTTCTTCAGCAGCCACCTGGGCTAGAAACTTTTTTTTAAATGAAAGCAAAGATTCTCAAGTAAAAACCTCATTCCAGCAGCTGGGGCTTTAAGAAAAAAACAAATATTGCGAGACTTGCAATACAATCTTGAGAGTTGGCAAGGCTGCAGATGTGAAATGTATGGATGCCTACCCCCGTAATCCATAAAAATAATGATAAAAGTAAAGTGTTTTAAACAGACACCCTCCCAAGGCTTGTTTCACTTAAATCAATCTCTCTCGGATTTTAAAGCGTTTGTTTAATGGCAGTCAATCAGCTGTCCCTTTTAATAGCACCAGGATTTGAGGAGGTTAATTGATTCAGTTTTGTCATTCGGGGTCTATATTAATAATGCTCACTCTGCATTACCATCTAAAAAGCTATTGCCGTGTAGTGAATTGTCTTTAGACCCTGCACAATACTGAAATAGTGGTTTGTTCTCTCTTTGAATTTATAGGACTGATAACTGCAAGTCTGCTTGCATGCCTCTCCTGGTTCTATGGGCTAAGTTCTTCCCCCCAACGCATCACTCCCGCTCTGTCAATCATTATGCTTGCTCCATGTTAAGAAACATATAGACTACAGAATTGCTCTTTTGACCTCTAACTCATTGTATGGCCTTGCTCCCTCCTATTGAATGGATCTGCAGCAAGCTGCTCTTGGGTCAGTGGATTCTGATTTTCTGGCCATCTCTAAACATCATTTGGAGGCCTCAGAGTGATAGAACCTGTGCTTTATTTGTTTCTCTGCCTTGCCAAAAGAGGTAAGAGACATGAATATGAATTTTAAAAGTTATTTGTCTTATTGTTCATTTTAAAAAGGGGATTATGAATTCTGTTGGTCAAAATGCTAGTTTGTATTTTACAAGGGTGCTTTAGAAGAAAAGCATTTCAGAAATGCAAGATCTACTGTAATGACCCCTGTAAAATAAAAACAGGAAAGATTCCCACTCAAAGTACTATAATGCAGAACAGCAGAACTTTCCAAAATGGAATTTGGGGAATGAGAAAGAATCAGACTAGGTTTTCTCAGTACACTAACACGGCTGCTACTCTGAAACCTCTCAGTACAAAAAAGTTATACATTTAAAAGGTTCTCATAATACTGTAATAAGCTAAAGGATACATTTTTGGAACTGTGTATGCAGATATGCATGCCAAATATGCATGCACAAATCCTAATAATTGCACATTCAACGATAAATGCAAATAATGGATGTAAATGTACATACATAGTTCTGAAAGCCTAGACCTGTCTATGTCTCTGAAACATAACATGGAATAAGAAAAACTTTTTTAAAACTGATATCATGTCTCCTAACATTACTGTACTTTCTGGCCTGCCTAATGTGATTTTTAAATAAATTTGTTTTACACATAAGTGACAATGCATCTTGACTGATATTGATAAAACTAGCTTAATTTGGACTTTTAAAAAATACTTAAACCTTAAAATTTTGACACATTAACCCCCCTTCCATAACAAAAACAAATCCCACACAGTAATTATTTGGTAGCAAAGCCTCCCACGTGCTTCGAGCGTGGAGCTAGAAGTCAGTCAATATGAGTTCTATTCCTTACTGTGCCTACTCCTGACTTGCATTAGCCCAGCACTTAACAACCCTGTGTTTCAGTTCTGTCAATTTAAAAACAGGGATGACGTCACCTACCTTTTTAAACTCACTGCAAAGGTTGGATGAAATTCCATCCTCAGCACAAAAGACCTAGAGTCAAATTTCACATGAACAGTGCTGGGAGATTCATGTGGGATTATCAAATTAAGAATAAAACAGTACAACTAACGGTGCTACAAAACATGCGACGTGGGGTGAAAGATCACTGTCTTCCTTGTTTGTCAATAGAGCTGCCATATGAAATCTCATGATATATTGCTTTGTTAGTTGGATAATACATTTGGATCACCAGCATATTAGAAAGCTGACTTAATTAGGCCCAGAACTCAGTGATGCTATTGTTAGTGCAAGAAGCAATAAACTACTGTGTGAAACACAAGGCCTGATCCTGTAAGGCCCCCGAGCACTGAACTCTTACTGATATCAGTTCAAGTTGTGGAAGCAGACAGCTTTCAGGATCAGGCCGCTGGTGATGATTCCAGGTGAAGAATTATTCAGTTATGCAGTGTATGTACAGCTGCTCATTTTGAAAATATTAGATATAATGCTGTCAAGATGTTACTCTCTGTTTCTCACACACCGCAAATAGCACTGTATAAATATTTTAAGATATACAGGAAACTACCTATGGAAGATTTCCTTTACATTCTAGTGAACAATAGTCCCATCGCTGGCACAGGTACTGGGCCATCTGCCATCTGCTAGGTATAATAAACACATTTTAAGATATTTACAACTTTCAATCACTACACATGCACCCAGAGATTTTTGAGATGTTGTGCATCAGATCCTTGGCTGGTGTAAATTATTACACCAAATTACTACAGTAGTTCCACTGAAGTCAATGTACACCAATTGAGGATTGGACACCGTGACTCATAAATTTGATTCTTTTTGAACTCCTTATTTTATTACAAGCACTCAATGCCTCTTCATTTGCCTGGGAATCCACAAATAAAGTTCAATCCCCATTCTACCCTTATCTAGTACAGGCAGGTATTGTAAGTCCCTCCCCTTTCTAAAATGGAAGTTACATTTTAAGTTATCTATAGAAAAATATTTGAGTGCTTCTACAGGAAAAAAAAAGTCATTCAATGCAACTAGATCTGTCATCAATAAACATGCACATCATGCACCCTGAGTTATATAGCCAAATTATTTTTTTATTGGTATAAACTAAATTAAACTTCCATTCAAACTTCTGCCCACTGACCCAGTCACCTTGTTTTCAATTTGAGTGAATTTAATACTCGTAAAAGTGAAGGATTAATACCAAACAGAATGAGGCACGAATCACAAACCGGCTAACATATAAGTAACTAATCGAAGTCCATTAAGCGACTCAAAACCTTTTGCAATCACTAAACTGACTCAACAGCACAAAGTGATTGCAACATGAAAAATCATTGCATTTTAGCATTATCGTAATAAAACATGGAAAGCTAAGATGGAAAACAATCTGTGTTGTGTTAATAAGCTTAGGTAGCAATTAACTTGTTTCTCCAAAACTGTATCCCAGACTCATTAGTCTGGTAAACACCATAAGCTGACAATGGACTATTACAGATGTCTACAAGAAGTTGTTTCAAACAACCATGATAACTTTTAAGACCTATGTTTAACATTAATTTTTCTGCTTTCTTTAAACAATCATATGAGCTTAATATTTCTGAATGCTGAAATACAGAAAGGGAACTGGGAAATAAAGTAAGCTTTTGGAGTGGTTCTTGAGTCGTTCAATGGTAAACATCTCCAAACAAAGTGAAATAACACTTTGACAACATCTGTCTGTCACAGAGTGTGTCAGAGATGTTGGAAGAAAAATCAAATTGTCCGTTAGAGCTGGCTGAAATTTTTCAAAGGAAAAACTCACATAAAAATGGCCTTCATTCAAAAATGAAATTTTGTCCAGAGCAGTCAACATTGCCAAAAAATTTCCCCATGCTCTTTTGGTAAGTTTTTCAATTTTGTTATAAAAGACATAACCAAAATGGTTTTTACTTAAAAATGAAAAGTGTGAAAAACAAAAATGGATCCATTTCAAACACTATGAAATGAAAACAACTCCAAAAATTTCAATATGTTTCTTGAAAATGGGTTTTCACTTTTTGGCCACTCTACTGCCTTAGTAATAGCATCACCTAGTTCTTTCATCAGTAGATCTCAAAGCACTTCACAATCTGCTGTATGCTAAAAGCATATAGTAGTCTTCATGTTACTTACCTACTATCCTGTCCTGTGCATTGTAGAGAGGTAAAGTAAAAGCCACACAGCCACAGTGCTTATAACAATACCAGAAAGCCAGGAATATCTTGAGAAACTGAATACAATGGGCCACATCCTTAACCCTTGTGAAGTCCCTTTGCACCAGTCCAGATGACTTAATACAGAAGAGCCACTAGGCTTCTTCAAGTTACTCTATGGGTCATTTTGACCCCTGGCAGCCACAGGATCAGGGGACCTGAAAGGTGGGTTAGCAATGCCTTTCCTTGCTTCTCTCCTTAGCCATACTGAGCATAAGCTTAATAGAACGGAGGATCGAGTCCAAAGATGGTGTCCATACTGTAAGATCTCTTCCTTTAATATGTGGACTCAATGCAAAAACTGCATAGGACAGAATGAACATCAACAGTGAAAGTGTTACGGCAACATTATACAGTAAGTGTAAAAGATACTGTGTTTACCTCATGTGGATTTGTGTAGCCCAGAAGCAGATTTGCTGCTTTAATGTCACCATGAACAAACTCATTTTCATGCACATATTCCAAGGCATCCAACTAGGAAAGAAGTCCAAAAGGGAATGTTTATTAATTATTATTCTCATTATCACCTAAATGTGCTTCACTCATTCAATGAGCCTCAACTGCCACATTATGGGCTGGAATGTGAGGTAATGATCTGCCCTGCATTAGCTGAAGCCCTCCTGGTTCCCCTGGGACCAGGGATAGATTATATTGTTCTGGATCTATGCCCATCCCAGTGTACACTGCCAGATGCATAGGGAAGGAAAGCAAAGCCAAGACTCCATCCATTTCCTGCCCCATTCTATCCACTTCCTTCCACTGCTATAATACAGGTAGCTGATGCAGGGATGTAAGGGCGTGCCAGCTGGGCCACATTTTATCCCTATACATCTGCCCTATACATCTTTGAAATTTCTAAAATATCTTTAAATGTGATGTTAAGGTCTTTTCTCTCATGATCCATTAATGAAACTAATACTTTATAATACTGGAAGGGCAGGGGGAATTCCTAACTCTCCAAAAGGGAAAACATATCTGGTCCTGATAGTTCACAAGATATTGGACCTTAAGACTGTTAATAGACTAATTGTTGCTCACCCTGCACTTCAGATCAGGAGGGGTCCTTTCATATTTGATGAGACGAGAAACATGTTTATAGCAGGCTGATTTACACAAAGAAAAGAAAAATGGCTGTTTGAGAGGCACCCAGTTTTGGAATGTTAAAACCACTGGTCCATCAGTGAAAAGGCATTAGTGACAGAATGCAGGCAAGATGGTAAAGGGGCAATATAAATGCATTTTATTGCATTTGTTTGATAATACAGTAGACCCTTGCTATAATGCCCTTTACAATAGCAAACCTTAAGCTATAGCGAATGTGGTCCCTGGATCCTGCCTCCAGCCCTGCCTGCTGTGGTGGGGGATTGAGAGCTCCTATGGCCCCAAGACTGCAAGTGTGTGGGGGGGGAGGGGGCACAAAGGGTTCCTTTGGCCCCAGGACCACCAGAGGAGCACTCCCTCACCCGCTTGCTATACCGCACAAATGGCTTGGGTCCCCAGGGGTTTGTTATAGCAAGGAGTACTGTGCCACTCTCCCACAAACTAAATGGCATTCCCAAACGACAGTATATAATCTCCCAGTAATCTATGCTAATTTAAAGGAATTTGAAAACAAGATACATGTACAATCCTACAGGCTTATTTTGGCCTGCACAATGATGTGAAATCAGACTAAATATCCTTCTGCATAACAAAGATGGCAGTGCTGAAAGCACTGTGGCCAAAATTGTCTAACCTACATGGCTCACATGGATGGTGTTCCAAGAAGGAGGATTGCTAGGCAGAGACGGGCTCCACCTAATGAAGAGAGGGAAGAGCATCTTCGCAAACAGGCTGGCTAACCTAGTGAGGAGGGCTTTAAACTAGGTTCACCCGGGGAAGGAGACCAAAGCCCTGAGGTAAGTGGGGAAGTGGGATACCAGGAGGAAGCACGAGTACAGGAGAGCGCAAGAGGGGAGAGCTCCTGCCTCATACTGAGAAAGCAGGACAATCAGCGAGTTATCTTAAGTGCCTATACACAAATGCAAGACGCGTGAGAAACAAGCAGGGAGAACTGGAAGTCCTGGCACAGTCAAGGAATTATGATGCGATTGGAATAACAGAGAGTTGGTGGGGTAACTCACATGACTGGAGTACTGTCATGGATGGATATAAACTGTTCAGGAAGGACAGACAGGGCAGAAAAGGTGGGGGAGTTGCATTGTATGTAAGAGAGCAGTATGACTGCTCAGAGCTCCAGCATGAAACTGCAGAAAAACCTGAGAGTCTCTGGATTAAGTTTAGAAGTGTGAGCAACAAGGGTGATGTCGTGGTTGGAGTCTGCTATAGACCACCAGACCAGGGGGATGAGATGGATGAGGTTTTCTTCAGGCAACTAACAGCAGTTACTAGATCACAGGCCCTGGTTCTCATGGAGGACTTCAATCACCCTGATATCTGCTAGGAGAGCAATACAGCAATGTACATACAATCCAGGAAATTTTTGGAAAGTGTAGGGGACAATTTCCTGGTGCAAGTGCTGGATGAATCAACTAGGGGCTCTTCTTGACCTGCTGCTCACAAACAGGGAAGCATTAGTGGGGGAAGCAAAAGTGGATGGAAACCTGGGAGGCAGTGACTATGAGATGGTCGAGTTCAGGATCCTGACAAAAGAAAGAAAGGAGAGCAGCAGAATACGTACCCTGGACTTCAGAAAAGCAGACTGACTCCCTCAGGGAACTGATGGGCAGGATCCCCTGGGAGAATAACATGAGGGGGAAAGGAGTCCAGGAGAGCTGGCTGTATTTTAAAGAATCCTTGTTGAGGTTGCAGGAACAAACCATCCCGATGTGTAGAAAGAATAGTAAATATGGCAGGCAACCAGCTTGGCTTAACAGTGAAATCCTTGCTGATCTTAAACACAAAAAAGACGCTTACAAGAAGTGGAAGATTGGACAAATGACCAGGGAGGAGTATAAAAATATTGTTCAAGCATGCAGGAGTGAAATCAGGAAGGCCAAATCACCCTTGTTGTTGCAGCTAGCAAGGGATGTTAAAAGTATCAAGAAGGGTTTCTTCAGGTATGTTAGCAACAAGAAGGTGGTCAGGGAAAGTGTGGGCCCCTTACTGAATGGTGGAGGCAACCTAATGACAGAGGATGTACTCAATGCTTTTTTTGCCCCTGTCTTCACGAACAAGGTCAGCTCCCAGACTACTGCACAGGGCAGCACAGCATGGGGAGGATGCGACCAGCCCTCTGTGGAGAAAGAAGTGGTTCAGGACTATTTAGAAAAGCTGGACAAGCACAAGTCCCTGGGGGTCGGATGCACTCCATCCAAGGGTGCTAAAGGAGTTGGCGGATGTGATTGCAGAGCCACTGGCCATTATCTTTGAAAACTCATGGTGATTGGAGGAGGTCCCGAATGACTGGAAAAAGGCAAATATAGTGCCCACTTTTTTTTTTAAAGTGGAAGAAGGAGGATCCCGGGAACTACAGGCCAGTCAGCCTCATCTCAGTCATTGGAAAAATCATGGAGCAGGTCCTCAAGGAATCAATTTTGAAGCACTTAGAGGAGAGGAAAGAGATTAGGAACAGTCAGCATGGATTCACCAAGGGCAAGTCATGCCTGACTA